CTCTCTCTCTCTCTCTCTCTCTCTCTCTCTCTCTCTCTCTCTCTCTCTCTCTCTCTCTCTCTCTCTCTCTCTCTCTCTCTCGTTACAAAAAAAAAAAAAAACGTAACACGAATTCAAGCGACTGATTCTTTTCCTAATTTTATATTCCAAGAATGATATAGACAAAATTAAATGTGAAAACGAGCACAAGAATTTAATTAATTAAAGAAGCTCGTTAACCAGTTTCAGATCAACCAGTTGAACAACAACGAAACGTCATGTTGCTCGTGCAACTCCTTCAAAGACACGTCGTACATGGCGTCCACGTGTGGCGTGAAGACATCTTTTATGAGCTTGGTCGAGAAAGTTATCGCCTCTACTTGCGATATCGCTAATCCTTGCAACAGGCTTGGAAGCGAGGAGGTGCCCAACGAATGGTAAGAATTTTTTTTCCCTCCCTCTCACTCACTAAATAAATAATTTTTTAATTATTTCCAAATTATTCTTTCTATCAGACTAATATGCGTGCAATTTAAATTCTAATTAATTCTCCGATGTATCACGAGAACACAGGTTCGATTTTATCGTGGTTGGAGCAGGGGTGGCTGGGCCCGTAATTGCCAGGAGATTAAGCGATAATCCATGGTGGAGGGTTCTGCTGATCGAGGCCGGACCGGAAGAGCCCTCGATGACTTCGATTCCTGGACTCGCCGTTCACGCGGTCAACTCGTCGTTGGATTGGAAATTCAAAACGGAGCCCACCGAGCCCCATCCCACGGCCTGTTTAGGTGAAGTAATTACATTAGGAATAACAATTAACATCCTCGAATTAATCGAGATCGATGATAAATCGATAAGATGGTCAAAATAGTTACGAATAACTTACTTCGATAATTTATTTCTCGAAACGTAATAACAATTGTGATTGAGAGTCGAGATTGTACGTAAAACAGTATTAAAAAATTCAAATAGAGTTTCTTTAATAAGTAATCACTTTATCATTGTCATTAAAATGCTTAAATTTTATTCGTAGCTATTCGTAGTCGATCCACTTTTCGTATTACAATTATTTCCAATTCTGTGTCAAACAGCCATTCCCTTACGTATCATAATTTAACAGTTAAAGTTACCTCGATGAATCCAACAATCGAAGTAATATTTATTCGTATACTCAAATTTTCCAACCGACTCGCTTTTTCAACGTTTTTTAACGGCCCTCTTTAATCTTCACTCTTTATTCTCCACCGCAGAAAACAATGGAGTATGTTCATGGCCGCGCGGAAAGATGATGTCCGGTACGGCGGGCATGTACGGTATGATGTATAGTCGGGGACATCCGGAAGTGTTCAACGGTTGGGCGCGTGGAGGCGCCACCGGCTGGTCGTACGACGAGGTGACGCACTATTTCGAGCGCGCCGAGGACCCGATCGACCAATCGATATTGTCCGACAAACCGAGGACCGTACCCGTCCCCGGCCCGATGAAGATCCAATTCTATCCCAACAAACCGGCGTTCGCCGACGAGATCCTGAAAGCTGCGTCCGAACTCGGTTACAGAACGTCGAAATTGAAGGAGTACACGCAGACGGGTTTCATGGTCGCACCGATGACGACCGACAACGGTGTTCGCGGTACGGCGACGAGGAATTATCTGAGGCCGGTCCACGGTAGGGTCAATCTCAGGGTGTTGATAAACGCCCACGTGACCAAGGTGCTGATGGATTGGCAGGGGAGGGCCTATGGCGTGGAATTGGTCGACAAGGACGGGTATAAGAGGATCGTGAAGGCCAACAAGGAGGTGATCCTGACGGCAGGGACGATCGGATCGGCCCACATCCTGTTGAACTCCGGGATAGGACCCAAAGACCAATTGACGAAATTGGGTATGAACGTGGTCAAGGATCTGCCCGTGGGGAAGAACCTTCACAACCACGTGTCGATCGCCGTCCAGTTCAGTATCAAGGACACGGCTTACGAGGCGATGACGATGAACAGCGTGAACGAGTATTTGGAGACGAGGACCGGGCCCATGACGAGCACGGGATTGACCCAAGTCACGGCTTTCTTTGAGAGCAGTTACGCGGTCACGGGTATTCCCGATATTCAAGTGTTTTTCGACGGGTTCGCGCCCAGGTGTCCGAGGACGGGGCTCGAGTTCGAGTGTTTGAACGGGGCGCTTGGTCTGTGCTCGGACAGGAGGCAGATCACGGTCAGGCCCACCGCCCTCACTGCGGCCAGCAAAGGTTACTTGAAGCTACGCTCGAGCGACCCGTTGGCCCCGCCCTTGATCTATCCTAATTATTTCGTCGACACGAAGGACCTGAAGGTGCTTGTCGAGGGTATCAAAAAATCCATAGAACTCACCAACACTCGGGCCCTCAAACAATGGGACTTCAAACTCGAGCCTGTCGTCCATCCTCTCTGCACCGAGTAAGCGATCCTTCGATTAGGTTAGGTTAATCTCGATTGACGTTCGCGTGTTCTAATTTCCTTTTTCTTTCACAGTTATCATTTTGGCAGCGACGCGTATTGGGAGTGTTACGTGAGAGCAGCGACCGGGCCCGAGAACCACCAATCGGGCACGTGCAAGATGGGGGCGTACGACGATCCAACCGCCGTCGTGGACACGGAACTTCGTGTGCGCGGTGTATCGAATCTCAGGGTAGCGGATGCGTCCGTATTTCCTCTCGTGCCGAATGGCAATCCTGTGGCCGCCATCTTGATGGTCGCGGAAAAAGCCGCAGACATGATCGCGCATGCGTGGTCGAAAATATAAACTTCTAGAGATTTACTATATGCAGAGGGCGCTACTGATCATACAAATTTCGAAATTAGACGCTAAGGAGAATCCGACTAATGAATTATAGGTACTTTCTTGTATCTCTCTTGTAGATCCCATTATTTGGAACAGTTAGTCTGATTAGTTGTTTCGTTGTTGCATATGATGTAAATGTGATTGTTGTGGATTTAAAATATGTTAAAAATATCGAAGGTCTGGAATACCAATTTGTAAAATCCTAATTTCTAAATATGTTTATAAAACGAGTTTATCTTATCTGCAGATAAGATTGTTCCTAGTAGCTTTTCAAATACCAAATTTTTGTAAAAAAGATTTTGTAATCGAAATATATATTCATTCGTTTATAACATTCCGTTATTTCTTCTATTCCAATTATTTAATATACGTACAATGCATGAAGAAAAGACTAGATAAGTATTATAGGGACATTCTATTTCTAATTCTAGGAATTTTTTTTGAGTGCATTCATTTCTGAGAGGACGATTTCATTTTGATAAAATTCAAGGAAAAGGCAAAACGTTTTTTTAGGCTTTGAATTATTCAGAATAAGAATGACATCTTGACCCATATTATTACACAATATAATTGTTGGAATTGAATTCTTAAATTTTATACTTATAGATCTCGAAGTAGATAAACTTTCGTTAGCATATGAATGTTCGATCGTTTGAAATAGAAAGAATTTTTTTCAATAAATTTACTTACGTATATAAACAGCGTTGACAGTGGACACATTGTTTTATAATAAAAATTATTTGTTCAAACACGACAAATTATTCCTAATTTTATTATTTTTATTTCCACATTGAGCCTGCTGGCACTATTATTATCGTCCTTCAATCTATAATTATTCGTTCCACCATTTCATAACGATATCATAATTTTATCTAATTTCAATATCAGAAATATTTGTTATTTCACTCTCATCAATGAAGATCAATAAAGTTTTGTTTTTTATCATATATTTTGAAATCACGGGAAGAAGATTATTATAAAATCGCATCGATGATGATGATGAAATTTCTATTTATATATTTATATTTGTAAAAAATGTTCAACGTTTCCAGTCATTTTTTTTTTTATACATGCATAAATCTTTTTATGATCCGATATTAGTTAGATAATTTTATTCTAACCAATCGAAGAGAACAGATTTACAAAGACAGATATACGAGATATCTAATTGCATATCTAGGAAGTAAGTATAAATTCGATAAAATATAAAAATAATATATGATATGATGATGTTTTCACGTCGTATCTCGTTTGCGATCTTTCCCATCTATAAATATGATTAAATCACTTTTGCGAGGAAAAATACGAGATCAATGTAAAAATATCAAATGTTGAATGATATTACATTAATGCATATAACATTACAAGTTTGTGCGTTAAATTTTTCTTTTTTTTTTTTTTTTTTTTTACACAAATTGACAATTATTCGTAATCGACAACAAGCTTTCGTATATTTTATTGCAATACCTTGAATGCATCGAGAAAAAAAAAAAAAAAATAACACAGCAAAATTACGAATTTTTCTCCTTTCTTCGTGTGCAAAATCCATATGTTTTTATTTTTCAACGAAAAAATCGCATTGATCGAGAAATTACATTCTCAATCTTTCTTTTTTCCTTTTCGAATCGTTTTTAAATTAAATTTTAAATTTCGCTCGATCGATAAATCGAGACATATTTTCATCGGTAAGATTTATCAGGCAAGACTATAATAGACGTATAACCATGGAAATTAATTATCTTCTTGGTCAATGTTATGACTAAATTATTTTTCACGATAAATAAAACATTTTAAACTCTCCAATTGTCTTTTTTTCTCGAACGCATATTTGGAATATGATAAAATTTTTCGAGTCGTAATTCTTCTATAGCAGACAAGAATGCATCCATGAAAGAAGAAAAATTAGTATGTACACACACACACACGCATACACATATATGTACAGTATATAAGCAGTGATACTCTTCTCATATTCAAACGTAAATTGAACTTTAACGATAAAAGAATTCGAGAGCAAGTTCTTATTGAGGAAAAGAAAAATTGCGACGTACGCAAGAGACACTCGTATTATTAAGCAGGTAAGTGAAACGTATCGATTTTTTTTTTACAAATATTTATCAAAATTTGTTATAAACAACGTGATAAAAGAAAAAAAAAAAAACGTGGTATAGAATTTTTGCAATTTTTAATACAAATTTTCGTCGATCGATTTTGATTCCTCATATTTATGATATATACATACATGAATATATACATTAAAAAATGCCTCAGATTTTTTTTCTAAATAAAAAAAATAATAATAATTAAAATTACCGATTTGCAAATATTATAAGCGTATCAATAATCAACTAATCAATCAATACCAATCTGTAGAGAAATAAATATACTGGGTTGAGTTTCATTTTCAATTACACGATAAAATAATTTTTAATTTTTTTTTCGAAGGAATTAGAAGAACGGAAATATAAATAAAAATTAAATTTATTTAAATTTAAATAATGGACACAGTGTATAAAATTAAATAATCTATAGATATTTAAAATCGATCAATTTCTCCTTCGAAATTATCATTCGATGAAATGTAAAACCGCAATGGAACTTATCAAATCAAATTTCAAAAACTTTCTTCCTCCTCTTCGAGAAATCGAGCAACAAATTCGAAGGGACATGGACTCGTGTACAGCCATGCCCGGGATGATGTCATCGCCCCATCAAGCCTCCACCATTTTCACTCTGCTGCTTCAAACCATAATGACGTCCTATTACAACTTAAACAATCCGCTCGAATACCCCGCCGATCGTACGGAAGAGATTCTAAATTCGAGGAAGGAATTCGATTTCGTGATAATCGGGGGTGGAACGGCAGGAACCGTTTTGGCGCGCAGATTGACGGAGGTGGAGGATTGGGACGTGCTGCTGGTCGAAAGGGGAGACGATCCTTTGCCCGAAACCGACGTACCCGCTCTTATTTTCAACTCGATTGGCATGTCCCAGGATTATCGTTACATGGTAATGCACAATGTTTAATACGTAATTTATTCTTTCATCGCTTATTAATTTCTCGAATCTTATTTTTTTTTTGATCTCTAAGATCTCTTCTTAAAATTCTCTCTAACGAAATTCGAATAAAAAAAAGAAAACATTTTACCTCGTTATACGTACAACGATAATAATTCCAAATTTTGTTGAAAAAAGACCGAGTACCAAGAGGGTGTCTGTATGAGTATCAAGGACAAGCGATGCAAATGGTCGAAGGGCAAGGCTCTCGGGGGAAGCTCGGTGATCAACGCCATGCTGCACGTGTTCGGCAATAAGAGGGACTACGACGATTGGGCGAGGGAGGGGAACGAGGGATGGGATTACGAACAGGTTCTCCCATACTTTCGAAAATCGTTGAACTGCTCGCCGGAATACCTGGCCCGATTCGGTGCCGATTACTGCGGCACGGACGGGCCGATGAAGATCAGAAATTACAATTACACGGTAACGGATATACAGAACGTGATACTGGACGCGGCGCGGGAGGTCGGATACGAGATCCTGGAGCCGTTGAACGGGGACCGTTTCATAGGATTCGGGAAGGCCATGGGCACCCTCGACGATGGACGGCGTCTGAACGGCGCCAAAGCCTTCCTCTCTCCCGTCAAACACAGGAAGAATCTGTACGTGATGAAGTCGAGCCGGGTGGACAGGGTGTTGCTCGAGGATGGGCGGGCGGTTGGAGCGAGGATCACGTTGAAGAACGATCGAAGTATCGACGTGTGGGCGACCAAGGAGGTGATCCTGTCGGCGGGGAGCGTGGCCAGCCCCCAGATACTGATGCTCTCGGGGATCGGGCCCAAGGAGCATCTGGAGGAGATGGGTATATCACCTGTCCACGATCTACCCGTTGGGATGAATCTTCAGGATCACCTTGTTTGGATAGGCATGTATTTCACGTACGTAAACGAATCCATCAACTCGCCCCCGCCCGTGGATGCGATCTACGACGCGGCCTACGAATACTTGATCCACAAGAATGGCCCGTTGCGCACTCTACCGCTCGATCTAATAGGCTTCGTCAACGTGACCGACTCCTCCTCCCGGTATCCGGACGTTCAACTCGTGATATCGCCGATTTATCGTTTCGACAGGAGCATATTGACGAACGTGATGAACAGCTTCGATGTGATGGACGAGGTGACTGCGGACATGTCACGCGTGATCATGAATACGAGCGTGATCATGATTAACTCCATACTGTTGAAACCTAAGAGCAGAGGGGTGTTGAGGTTGCGAAGCACGGATCCCGCCGATCCCGTCAAGATTTACACGAATTACCTGGTTGAGAAGGAGGATGCGACGACGTTGTTGAAATCCATGGATGTGATCAAGGCTCTGCTCAACACCGAGTCCCTGAAGAAGTACGGGATGCAGTTGTATCACCTCGATATTCCCGGATGCCGTCACACGGAACCCGATACCGAGGAATATTGGGAATGCAACATCAGGCACATGACTGCCTCCGCGTTCCACGCGTGTGGAACGGTCAAGATGGGGCCGGCCGACGACTCGAGTACCGTCGTCGATTCGAGATTGAAAGTGCACGGGATCGAGGGTTTGCGAGTGATCGACGCGTCGATCATGCCGAGCATCATTAGCGGGAATATCAATGCACCGACTATGATGATTGCCGAGAAGGGGGCCGATATGATTAAGCAGGATTGGTGCAAGGATTTGCGAGCAGAGGAAGGTGGCGATTCGCAGCAGACGTGCGTGTAAAAGATCGGATGTGTAGTATAGTAGGCTTGGACGTACTCGTATATTCCTCTCTATCGTGCCAGAGAGATGGGCAAAATTGTAACGAAGCTGAGAATAAAATTGTTTCAATAAAATTTATTGTTCAGTTAAAGTATCGAATAATTTATGGATAAGAGCGTGTAGAAGAGCGAATCGATTCGAATATATTTTAAATGATAAAATTATTGAAGCAACTTTCGAAATTTTAACTCTGGTTACTACTCTTTCAGCAAATTAATGCTCTGCGCAACGTACGTATACGATAATGTAGACGTGAAGGAACAGTATATTTCCCTATATCGTGCTTTACCCGCGAGAGATAGGAAAAATTGCAAGCTGAAAATACTTCAATAATTTATTGTTCAATAAATTATCGAATAATTTGTGGATAAATGTAGAACAGCGGATCGATTCAAATATATTTTAAATAAAATTATTAAAATAACTTTTGAAATTTTAACTCTGGTTAATTCTTTCAGCAAATGCTTAACTCTGGCCTCGCACAACTGAATATATAACCGCATACGGTAACGTGGACTGCTCCACTCTCCTCTACGGAAACCCAAGGAGTGGGGAGAAAAGTCGTCATATAGGTTGGGCATTATAACCTGTTGAAAAAGTAACTAGTTAAAAATTTCGAATAAAGTTGTTTTGAGTAAATATTAAAATAGTAACTTTATTCTACAATTAAAATGGTTCAATTCTCTTCGTGGTGGAATTTTCTTTTGAGAGAAGAATACGTGACGTTATTTTATTCTTGCTGCTACTCCCTCATATTGCAAGTTTTTGCCAGTCACGTGACGTATCTCTGCCTAATAGCAATTGTAGTGGGGATAACGCGATGTCACGTATTCTTCTCTTGGAGAAATTGAGAAGGAATTGAACGGAGGCGAGCAAAATTTTAATAGTTGAAACTAAGAATAAAGTTATTTTAAGTTACTTTATTATTCGAAACATCCAATAATCATGGATAATGAATAAATGTTATTCAAGCATTTTAATACGTAATTACTTAAAGTAATTTTACTCGAAAATTTTAATTAGTTACTTCTTTAATAGATTAGTGGTTAACTCTCAATTTTAGTGACAGAGAAGGTAACATGAACTTAATTTTCATTATCAGTGTGTCGATTTGCCCACTTTTAATTAATTCCATATCCTTTTATCGTGTTTTGCCTCTAATATATGTACTTGTATACAATAATATAGACTTCTATAGTGTGGTAGGGAAGCACAGAAGCGAGGGAGAAAAAATATGCGACTCGTCCAAGCCTGCAGTGGAGCGTTGATTATTCGAATTGTTGGGTCCAAAGAGGTTAGAATTGTTCGGATAATGAAACATGCGTGTACTTACTTGTCGAATTGTAACTGTAGAAGTTACATGTAAAATTACTTATTAAATACAAAAGTAGTACTATCAATTGCGAAATTTAACGTTAAGTAATTATTACGTCAATCGTTATACCGATTCGAAGAGGAGATCCAACATTGGTTCGAATAATTGAGGTTCTCATTGTAATACACTTTTCATGATACGCGAGAAAAGAAGAAAGAAATAATAATAATAAAAAAAAAATATTAAAGTATACGTTTATATTGCATGATGATATGATAGTGTGATTAAAAATTAACGATTATTTTTGATTATTTTTTTTTATACATGTTATTCATCTTTGTACAATGTTATGAATTACTTTCGAAAAATTGTTTCTTGAAATGCATTACGATGGTAATAGCAATTCTTGGAATCGTTCGAACATTCCAATGCATTTTACAGTTGTTCTGTAATCCACCGAACGCATTTACGTATCGTTAAATTTTTCTGCAACGATGATGATAGTCGACACGAAAATTCTTTGTAATTGTAATTTATTATTAATTTAAAATTGAAAAGAGAATTTGATAAAATGTATTTTGCAAAAAATATTTTTTTTTCACAGAGAAATAAATTTTAAGAATACGTGGATCAAAATCGATAATGTGACATAACGATTAATAATAACAATTTTATATAATAACACCGAGGAGAATAATTGTTTTACAACAAAGAGATAACAACAGAGTTTGAGTTTTATAAGAGATTCGATAAAAAAAATAACGAGGAGAACCGTGAAAAGCGAAAGTGAAACGAAATCGACGATGATATGCAAACTGATTTGCCACGTGAAAAAGTTATTATAAGAGGTTGTAAAGCTGGCGAATAATACCATGAATAATAGGAAATAAAAAGTATCGAAGTAGAGCGGAAGCAGAGCAGACACGATCAGGTTGGTCGCTTTGTAGCTAAATAATTGTAAGATCCTTTCTAATTGTGCTAAGTGCTTACAATCTACTAGCATCGATAACACAAAAATAAATAAATTTATAGTAACATTATTTAAAGCGAGATATGATTATTACAAAAGATGGAATGCAATATAAACTAAATTTGTATTGTATATACGATGATAATAAAATCTTTGAATCAAACAACATCTTTTACATTTGATTTAAGAAAAATCTTATTTAATTGTCAATCAAAAATCCAATATAAAAATATCAAATATCAAATACGTTTTACAATTTAAAACTTCTTAATTACCTAGTTCAAGATATTCAATAAAGTATCAATCCTTTTGAATAAATTTTAAAAATATCGGCAAATATCATATGAAGATATATATATATATATATTCAACTTTTTCAACTCTCAAAAAATTTTTACAAATAGATCTGCCTCCCTCGTCGTCGATTCTTCATTCGAATCGAACGATTCACGATATTATGGATTTCGTCGTAATTTTAATCGATCGAGGAAAGTGGCTACTTGCTAATAAACGAAAGCGTGCACCTCGAGCCTCGAGAGCAAAAAAAAGTAGAGACAGGGGGGAAGTGGCAAGAACCAAGGCACCAGAGAGAGGAGCACCACTTTCGTTCAAATCAATCGTCGATGGTCCGCCACCCTTTCAGCACAACAAGAGAATTCCGTTTTCCAATTTTTTGACAAAAATAAGTGCCGTTTTGCTTTTAAAATAAAAAAAAAAAAAATAAATAAGCCCACCGTGCATGATTTTATCGAAAAATTGAGAGTGAACAGTGAGATTAACTAAGTGTGAATGATCAATTTTTCTTCTTTTAATTTTAATTATGAGATGGAAGTTTATTTTCTAGATATTTGACTCGATACGTGAAATTTCGGTTCATTTATTCATTTATTTATCCGCATACAGAAGAATATTTAATATTTATTCGATTAGAAATCCAGGTATCTTTAATCTTCAATAATAAAAATGAATAAATATATTACGAAAGGAATAATAATAATAAGAATACGTGAATAATCAATCCAGTAATAAATTAACGATTACTTAGTTAAGATGGTTAAGATTTTTAACGTGAAATGGTTATTAGTCACTGCAGTTGACAAAAAGAAACGTGGTTAAAAACACGTCTGTTTAAAGAACGAAACGTTAACCATTGTGCGCAACTGCTTCACCTTCATACGTGTGTGTGTACATACAATGAACTCTTTGTCGCTTAAGTGCTCACGACATTCGAAACTCCTTCTTTCTTCTGCCGAACACAATAGGCTAAGAAGAAGAAGAAGAAGAAGAAAAAAAAAACAAAAATAAAGGGAAAGAAAGAAACAGTGAAGTCACTCTTATTTCTTCGACTCTCTTTAATTATTTTATCCTATACGAAATACGTATTCCCAAAATCTTTCCTCTTTTTTGTTTTTTTTAAAAGCCCAACTGTTCTTTTCGTCGAATTATAAAATACCATCGTCATCCAAACAATATGAATTCCGAACACTGAAAGAGAATAATATCATTCAAAAGTTTAACGCGTATTCATTAAGAATATTACATTTATCCATGATGCATAACCGTAAACTATTTTTCATCCATTATTATCTTGTCTGGAAACACGAAAAAAAAAAAAAAATCGATAATCCCTAAAACTTTGGCCAACAGAAGAAAAGGAGATCCATCATTCTCGAAAGGTATGTCGTGGGTGCCACCGGACCTGGCAACGCTCTGTCAGCCACATTCCACCGTGTCGACCTGCCAACCACCGGCCTTCATGTTCCTGGCACTGGTCGCGCATCTGTTCGGCTACTCCCAGGACCCTTTCCATCGTGATCCATCTCGTGATTTCGATTCGTTTCCGTGGAAATTCGACGAGTGCGTAATATCCAACGCGAGACACTCGTCGCCGATCAAGGACGCGGCATACGGTCGCAAGAACGTGGAGGGCGATGAAGGCTTATCGAGAGAGGAGAACGAGAGCGATGAAAGCGAGACGGTCAAATTGCGACCGTCGATCGTGAATTTCGAAGAAATTTGCAACTCTTATCCTCGGCGGACCGAAATCGTCAGTGGACCGTTGCCTAGAATTTACGATGCGCTTCGAATCGATCAAGGTGAACGTTTGGGTCCGTTTTTAAATATTTTTCTGGAATGTAGAATAGAGGAAAGAAAAAATTATTTGTTGTTCAATTTTTTTTTTTTGTAATATTATAATTATTGATCTTTGCAGAAAGAATTTATATTCCAAGAATATTAAACGACGCAATTGCAAACGCGCCTCCAATGTATCTATTAACGAGCGAGTATAATCAAGACGAAAATGTTCAAACGGTTTCTTCGCAAGAAACTTGGAGAGGTGCCAGCGATTTTGACCATTTTATATATCCTAAGAAGATCGTGGATAGCCAGACCAGTGTGAATGTCAATTTTCAGAAAATTTCCACGAATTTTGCCAGAGAAGAGTACGATTTTATTATCGTTGGAGCTGGATCGGCTGGATGCGTACTAGCGAATAGACTGAGCGAAGTAAAACACTGGAAGGTATATCTATTCGAGGATAATTTTAACGAAGATTTGTTGTATTTTGTTAGATTAATTAGAAAGACAAAAGTTATTTTTGATTAAGAGAATTTTTACGTAATAGATTATATTATTGGGAAGTATTTTTTCAATTTTTCATTTCGTATTATTCGTATTTTCCCGCGTAAATGTAGAAAGCTCTTTATTCAATATGGCTGACGAATTCTATTTCCGAATTATCTGTAATTTTTATATTTCTAGTTGTATTAAGATTAATAGGAAAATTATTTTTATTTATTGTTTTTTTTGGAAAAAAAAATAATTTTTAACGACATCGATTTTTTTATCTTCTGAATTACGACAATTTCAAATATTTTTTATATTTATCTGAACTGAAGTTGATCCCTCAAAAAATGATTGGTGGCTTTTTACTTTTCTAGGAAATTAGATACGAAGTAAGATATATTAGATTTTTACTAGAAAGAAAAAAAAAAAATGTCAGAACTTTAAGGTTTTTAAATTGCACGGGAAAGAAAGACCACGCTGAATTCCAATATTAATCGGATAATAATAAGAAGAAGAAAAAAAAGAAAAAGGAACGAGTTTTTATGAACACACGGAACGACTTTTACTAAACACTGCAATGACTAATGGATTCATGAAACGATTCTACTAGAAACTGAACGTAGAATAAAATTCTCTTTTATTCTTATCGAAATTAAATAAATTCTATTAATTGATCTGATTAATTAAATTTATTTCTATTCTTTAACTTTAATCTTTAAGAAATTTGTATAAAATTTTAAAGATTTTATAATCGTCGCGCTTGATGCGTAAAGGTAAAGAAAGTTGATAATCCCGTGGTTGAAAACTCGAACAATGCCGAGGGCTTCTTTGAAAAGGATCACGAAACAGAAGATCGTCGACTATTATATCGTGAGGCCTCACTTAGAGGCTTCGATTGATGATTAAACCAGACCGTGAACCGCGTAATACTATAAAACTATTTATTTCGAGTAGTGTCAGTGCAATAAAATCAGCATAGCAAATAATGCAAAAAATCATCTGTACTTTTAACGAGTTTAAGCAATTTTCATCACAGATTTCCATTAATTTCTTATTAATGATAATATAGATATCTCACAAATATAATTTTTCAAAAAGATTTTATGTTTTCAAAATTAATTTTCACGAGAAAAAAAACTATCACTAATCAATGATCGATTCAACAATTTTAAAACAATATTACAATTAAATATAAATTGAATTAATAAAAAAAAAAGTGAAAAGTTAATAAATATTCGATCTTTTATATTCATTTTTAGATATTATTATTGGAGGCTGGCATAGAAGAACCATTGGTGGCCGATGTTCCTGCCTTTGCCTCTATGTTGCAAGCCAGCAATATCGATTGGATGTATCGTACACAACCAGAGCGACACTCTTGTCGATCAAGAAGGGACAGAAGCTGTGCATGGGCAAGGGGTAAGGTATGTATTATGTAATATCAACCTCGAACCTTAATTACGGTCTTACACGTTCAAAATAATATTTTTATTTTCGTAGCGATCGATAATTTTAAAAATTAAATCTCGAATTAATAAAAATTTAATTCGTTAATAATTGTATAACATTATACATTTATTATATTTAAGGTATATTATAAATTGGATTGTCGTAGGTAATGGGTGGATCCAGTACTATCAACTATATGATTTATATACGTGGTAATCCAAAAGACTATAACGAATGGGCAGAGAAAGGGAATTATGGATGGAGTTACGAAGAAGTTTTGCCATATTTTCTCAAGTCGGAGAACAATAAGGATTCAGAGGTAAATTTAACGAAGCTTATATTAACTTCCTTCTTCAATCAAAATTAGACAGAAAATTTATCATTCACATTCACAATAACCATGATTACTATTAAAAAAGAATATATCATAGAAAACTAAATCACATTTCCGAAAGTCCAATTCCATTATTCAACGATAAAACGAAATTAACAATCCTACGCGTCAATTTCAATGCAGAATCATTCAAAATTAATATATTACAATATCGATATTTTCCCCCAGATCGTAAAAGAAAACCCATATTACCATAACGAAGGCGGATATCAATCGGTGGAACGATTTCCATACACTGACATCAACGCGAGGATCCTTTTGAACGCGTGGCGGGAACTCGGTCACGTGACCGTGGATGCAAACGCGGGGACACAATTGGGAGTAATGGAGCTGCAAATGACTTCCCTCCATGGAAAACGCGAAAGCGTCAATAGCGCGTACATCAGACCTATCAGGCGCAAACGAAAGAATCTCACGATCGAGACACAAGCTCACGTCACCAGATTACTCATAGATCCAATCACGAAACGCGTGACAGGTATCGATTACACGTGTACGTCGACAGGACTAAGTAAATCTGTTCTGGCTAGGAAAGAGATCGTCCTGTCAGCTGGCGCGATCAACTCGCCCAAAATTTTAATGCTGTCCGGCATAGGACCGGCCGATGAATTAAAAAACATGGAATTCCAGTAATCAGTGACTTACCAGTTGGAAGAAATCTTCAGGATCACGTAACCATGGACGGTTTGGTAATTGCGTTGAACAATACTTCGACGACGAAAGACAACCATATGAAGAAAAGTGACATCTGCTATTACGAGAAGACTCAGATGGGGCCACTGTCTGCCACTGGAACACTCGTATGCGGAGCGTTTCTGCAGACCGTGTTCGAACATGAACATGGCTTGCCCGATATTCAATACGCCTTCGATGCTAGCAATCAGATAGATTTTTTGAACGATCCAGCGGAGTTTGGAGAGACTAGGGTCGAGCCTTTGTCTTACTACGATGCCATCAATATTAGACCTATTTTATTGTCGCCTAGAAGCAGAGGGTTCTTATTGTTGAACGATACAGATCCTCTGTGGGGACCGCCATCTATCTATCCTGCATACTTCACTGCCTATCCCGATGCAGACGTGATGGTGGAGGGGATAGAGACTGCTTTGAAGTTGTTTCATACCACGTGGTTTCGGAAGTATGGGTTTCGACTTATCGACACGCCTCTGCCTTCTTGCAGACGTTTCATTTTTGGCTCGAGGGAGTATTGGAAGTGCGTGATGATGGAGTACACGGCGACGATCTATCATCCTGTAGGCACGTGCAAAATGGGTCCAGATTGGGATCCCGAAGCTGTGGTCGATCCCGAGTTGAGGGTTTATGGAGTGGCCGGTTTGAGGGTCGTGGACGCTTCTATTATGCCTAAAATCGTTAGAGGGAACACGAATGCGCCTACCATCATGATCGCAGAGAAGGCTAGCGATATGATCAAGAATGAATGGTTATATGGATGGAAGTAAAAGTTTGCTTGCGATTGTATATCGAAGACGAGAACTTTGGACAGTAACGATATAATAAGTAAAAAGTTGATATCGATCCAACTGATTTTTAATGTATTTTCGATATGGAGGTAGGCCAATGTAATTCGTAGTTTTTATACGTATAATAATAGTTATAGTGAAAGTTTGTAATGTTATTCCTCGAGAATATTGATTTTAATATATTATAAAATTTTTACGATCTTACCATAGGATAGGATAAAAGCGTTGATTAATTGAATTGCCTTCATTAATAATATCAAAACGTCGATTAAAAGAATCTATTTGGTATAATAATCTTACCTGAAACAAAGGAAAAAAGAGGTTGTATTAATTTCTATTCTTAATTATATGATGAAATATTGAATTGCAAATATGTCGAGTGTATAAAAATATAAAAAATGTTTAATTATTATTCTATATTATCTAATTATTATTCTGTGTCAAGATCTCAAAATGTTAGGTTAACAATATCAATCAATAGCAGAATATAATTAGGTTAAAAAAAACGTATCATTAATGAACAGGTATCGCGAACAGTTCTCGTAATAATGATTTCTTCTTTCATTTTTTTTCCTAGAACTCTTTTAATTTCTTTTCTTAAACAATTCTACGTATGAAATTATAGTTAAAAGTAAAAAAAAAAAAAAAAAGAAGAAAAGAAAAAAAGAAAATAATAAAAAACAAAATTGAAACTTTATCAGAAACTAAATGAAGTAAATAATTATTTGGATCATGACTTTTTTTTATTCCATCCAAGGACTTTTAAAACACACTCTATCTACCCATAGCATTTACGTAATAAGAGCATCGAGAAAGGTAATGTTCTAGAAATCATTAACATTGTAAGAAATGCAAAGATCCATTGTGATTATCATTACAATAAAACAATCTCGTGAATTTCGACATTTTGAATTCAAAAGTATCATTACGATTTTCAATTCTAAGCCTCCATTTAGTTGATTTAAAATTTAAATTTAAACTCATCGCTGAAATGACACAAATTTTTCATTCGTTACCACTATATAGATTGTTGCATATAATCATAATAATTTTGTTTCTATAGGTTAAAAGAAAATTTGGTCGATCGATACTTGTTTATTCAATCACAAGAAATTCAAGAAAATGTCATTCCATCTTCATTCACAAATTTAAAGTTAAGTATATATATTTTTTGCATATTATTTTCACCTCTAGGAAATCCACTCTCAAAAGATTTTCCATGCATACATTAATTCTTTATGCACGACACAGCTCTTTGTCATCCGATCAAATTCTCGTCTTTTCGAGGAGACAAATTGCACGACAAATCACGTATGCTTGCTCGTAACTGTAAATGTAACGACATACGGACAAGAAGAACTTTCACTAGAAGGGTCTTTCCCAATTTTTTTTTTTTTTTCTTAGCACACGATAGCATTCAGACACCATATCATGGAACTGGAATGAAAACGCTTGACCGAGACGATTTCAAAATCATCTGGGCGAAAGTGAAATGTTTTTATTCGAAACATAACGTAGAATATATCGACGATCAAGAGGAGTAAGGGATATTAAAATAAAAAAAGAGAAAGAAAGAAAGAGAGAAAATTTGACTAGTTTTCGTGGGCAGTAAAAAATTAATGAAAGTGAAAGTGGAAATGAGACTTGTGATTAAAAGTGATTACAATAGATGATTACAATTATTTTTGTTTTTCTTGAGAGACATATCTTAAAAAGAGGTTTTATTTCTATGATTAATGATCTTAAGATGACGTGCTCTCAATCTTACAGATTTTTTCCAATTTTTCTTACCATTAATTTTTTCGTTAAAAATATAGAACGATCATTTCTTATAAATATAAAAATAAATATCATAGAATTATTAAAAAAAAAGAAAAAAATTCTTTATAATAACTGCATTTTAAATAAATATTTTCGATATTTATATCCAAATAATAAATTTCCAATTCATGAATTAAAATTATACCTTTTAATTTAATAGTTTTTTTATTTGCAACATATTGAAATAAAAACGTACTATGTGAATAGTTCATGAATAAATCATACATACATTATCGTTACCACGAAATTTTGCTCAACTGTGAAATCAAGATCATGTATCCTTGAACATCTTAATGGAACAACTTTAATGTGTATATATATATATTTTATTTTAAATTTATTACAAAATCAAAAAATATTTCGATGATTGAAACGAATTTAGATGACTTTATTTCATCTGAATGAAACGAGTCTCATTTACAAAGAAGATAAGAATCAATTATCACGAATCATTTGTTTTTAAATAAAATGAAACAAGATACGAATCATAAATCTTATCAATAACTAAAAATCTTATTATTATTCCCAGAATAAAATTTTACATCATACACATTTTGCTTCCCTTCTCAATTGCCTACTCAAAATTATTATTTGTATCCATTTTTCATTGTCATCATGAAATTACCACGTTATTTCTACTAAGGAAGGAATCGATACCTTTTCCCTACATCGCCAGTAATATCTCGAATGATGATACACAGATAAAATTACGAATCGTTGGATCGTATTACAATATCGTGATACATAGGGTGGAACAGTATACACTTTGGAAAGCCAAGGGTGATTTCTTAAGCATCACAGATTATTCATGTACCGAACATAAGCTAACATTCGAGTTGTAATACAATTAATTTTACTGAAAAAAAACTTCATTCGCTACGAATCACTGATCGATCACTGATTTTTTAAAAATTTCGATGCTAAATTGGTGATAAATTTTATTTCTATTCAACTTCAATTCGATCGTGGAAAAAAATTAGCATACAAAATTGAAATCATCACTGGCAAATTTTTCTTTTTTCAGCCGCATTCCCCCGTGGAAAAGATGGCCAAGATGCAAGGGACGAACGATCGATCATCGATCGATGGAAAAATACGAGCAGAAAAAAAGAGCGAACGTGACGAAAGAGATGAAGAAGTCAACCCTAAAGGTTAAACACGCGAATACGACCCGTTTCTTGTCGATCAAAGTGGTGGTACTACCGTACGGTTTATACGTGGAACGTGATGTTCGAACATTCAGTCTTTCGCTTTCTCTACGTTCGCGAGCTGCTCGATCGGTCCAATCGATCCACGTGCTTCTGCGTGATTCAACCTGGGGTGTGCCGCTTTTTTTCTTTTTTTGGCAAACTTATAAATGAAACTTTGAACAGAATCGAATCTCCAATATACCTCTCCTCGTTTCGGGATCAAGACGAATCGTGAGTATCAAAGAAACTATGATTCGTGATTTACGTGGAAATAGTATTGGTGTATATATATATATATATATATATATT